TTTTTTTTTTCTTTGTAACAGATACGTGCATATTCTGATCTTGTTGTTTTGTTATCGTGGAACATAAATGGTCTAAGAAAGCTTGTGTTGAATTAGATCTCCTTCAGCAAGTATTTTGCGTTTTTATTATTTGATGAAACGTTTGCGCCTCTCTGCCTAGATTTTGAGCCTCAAAGGTATATGGATGACAATCACCAGTACGCAAACAGGGAATATTGGGAAGAGAGGTTTAAGAGTGAGGAAGAATTCGAATGGTTGGCGGATTTCAATGCTTTCAAGCACCTTATCTTACCAAATCTCAGAACAGATTCGAGGTATCCCGTTATGTCACTGGTAATTTTTGAGTGGAGATGACACTAACGCTCTTTTCTTATGCTAATTAGGTCAACATGCATGATACTATTGTCGAGAATACATTTAGAATATTACACATCGGATGCGGTTCCAGTCAAATGTCTATGCAGTTGTTTGACTTGGGGTATAGGAATATCACCAACGTAGATTACTCACAGGTAACAGGTATAGTAGTGCATAAGTGATCCAAATCGATACACAACAGCGTCATGCTGCAGGTTTTGATTGGTACTAAACAAAGACTTCACCCAGAGATGAAGTGGATCTGTGATGACATCCGTTCCCTGGATTCTATCCCTTCCAACTCGTTCGATGTCGTTCTTGAAAAAGCTACATTAGAGGCACTGCTCGTCAAAGAAAAAGTGGTTATCTCTTCTCATCCAATTTTGTGTTACAAGTCATTGAACTCATCATTAGAGCCCATGGAGCCCTTCCGATGCTGCTCTTGAAACACTCGAAAGCGTTATGAAGTCGGTAGCGCGTGTGCTGACCGATGATGGTACACGTTTGACATATATCTCGAAGAACTCAAACTAATTAGCGTAGTTGCAGGGACCTTCATATCGATTTCGTTTACACAGCCCCATTTCCGCGTTCCAGCGCTTCTTCGGATGTCATGTTGGTCCGTAGAAGTGCACGAATTTGGGGAGCAATTTCGTTACTTTGTTTATGTAATGAAATGTGGGAAGGAGA